CGGCAAGATCATCTACAAATCCTAGTTTAGTAGAAGTGGTTCAGATTATATGTATTAAAACTTATATTGTTTGTTTTATAGAGATAACTTCATATATTTGACTTTGTGATCTTTTCCTATCCATGGGGTAAGATTATGCTGTACTCAGTGGTCCGCTTCTGAGTTGATCTGACTCCAGAAAAATACAGTCTCGACTGCAGTGTTTCAGCTGTTGCTGAGCAGACTGGTGGGCCTGGGACCCAAGATCTGGCTTCAGGCCACATCCTGCCAAATCAGTTCCTGGGGGGTCACTATGGAGAAGTGATCATGTCTTGGGAGACGTCATGATGACAGTGTCAACAAAGGAACCCAGTGTCAGACCATGGCTCCGGAAACATTATGTCTTCAATTATTCTGCTCTTCCCGAGATCTGAGTTGGAAGCACCTAACTAAGACGAAGCAGCTTGGGAAGTGTTCTGCTCTGTGCTGGTTAACAGTATTTTCCAGTCACTGCTGAAACTGGAAATGCCTCCAATGATTTCTGTTGGTCAGATAATGCTGCTAAGAGCTTACATGAGATGATCCTGCGTGCCAGGGGATGGCAGTAGCTTTTGGATGGAAATTTAAAATGGAAGTAATAAGCTGCTGCCCCTCTTCTCTATTCCATTTGAGTAATACCAGTGTTCAGTCTTGCCAGTTTTCTTTTTCAGGGTGTACAAGCGGCTGTGGAAAGGGATCAGGAGATGATGTGAGCTGTAGTGGTAGCCAGCTTGTTTCAGGACCTAGTACAAAACCAATAGCTTATCTCTTACTCTAGAGATAAGGTACAGAAAGAGCAAATACATGTTTTGCAAGAGTAGTGTTATTTCTGAGCTAGTTAGTAACTGAGTGTCTAATTTTTATTTTGATTCATTTTAATTTCTTGAAATTTCTTTAATGTAATTAGTTTATTGTCCTTGCTCTTAGAGGAGTGCTTAGAAAATAAACCAATAATAATACTTTCAAAAACTCTGATTTTGCAGAGCTGTGCATTCTTAGGTAAGATTAGTAGTACTATTGAAAAGCTCTGCCTGTTTTCTTTGTTAGAAAGTCATTACGGTTGCTGTCAGAGTGAATTTTTTGGGAAATGTCTCTCTTCTCTTCCCCCCATCCCACAGGTAAAATCAATGAGATAACTGTAGGTTTCTACACTATTCAGAGCATATAGCAAATGACTGTTTAGGAAGATAGATACACATAGAAAATCTACTGTATATTGGCATTTTGAATTGAGACTTTAAAAACTGTGAATCTGTACGGAGTGTTTTAGAGATGGTGAGGTCTAAATGCTATGGAGGTATGTGTTACCTAAATCCTCAGGTTTTTGACCTTGAACTTAACATAAGGCATTTGAGTCAATGTCAGACAAAATTCTGTCTCATGAAATGATACTCAGCTACGTTGAACTGTAGTTACTGAAGTAACAGTGTTTCAGATGATTAGAAAAGTGTCTCTTTTAAGTGGAAAGCTGAATTTAATTCTTGTTCTTCTGGATATAAATTAATGTGTTAATATAAAAGGTAAAAAAGAACTACTGAATAAGAATGGTTAATAAAAACCACAGTTCTCATCTTTCTGTCTAGCAGACTTAAGCCAGGAGGACAATGGTTGTGTTTGCAGCCCAGATAAAGTCAGCTAGAGAATATCTATATAGTACTAACAGCAACGTAGAGATGCACAAGCCAGCTAGGCTATGGCAGCTCAGAGTTCATCAAGTGCTAAACAACTTCCTTCCCTGTGTGGCAGTGACATTTGTGTAGCCATATGGTCTAGCTCATGATGGGTTAACAGATTGCCGAGCTAATATAGTGAAAGGCTTATATCTACTAAAACTGTTCTACATACGGAGTTACCACTTTTTTT